TCTCTGCATCGCAACACAGTATGGGATAGTCTTGGCAAGCAAGTTCCTCCGTTTCATCGCCGTCTACTGTGTGAGTAGGATCTTGCTATGTTGCTACTTCACTTTCAGGATCTCAAACGCTGACTCTTCGGTGCCAAACTCATCAACGAGACAGTTTGTTCTGCATCTTGAAGGAGAGGAGGAGCTGGTGGATTTCATGGCACGGAGCAACCGTGAGGCCACAAACCACTTGATACAAAAGGGTCGCAAGAAACAGCCTGTAAACTTGATAGAGCTCTTGGAGGCAACAAATCCCATCTCAAAAGGCTTTGAAGGGATTAGAGATTTTGACAGCGACGAGGTTGCTTCTCTAGCCTCTGGAGAGCCACCTAATTCATGGGCCCTTCCATTAGTAACGCTGACGAGCATCGCTGTTGCTCTTCCCAACATAAAGCCTTGCTCTCTCAAGAAGCTAGTGAAGGCTGTAAACGAGGCTTTAGTCTATGTCAAAAAGTTCGAAGAGGTCTTAGACATTGAAGGAGAGTTAGTTAACAGCAGGAAAGCCGCAGAGGTGGTTTGGTTAGGAGTTGATCTATACCATAAGTGGCTCAACGTGGATCTTCGAAAACTATCCAAGCAACAGAGAACAAGACCGCAAGAAGTTTTTCAAGAACTGGTGGAGATAGCGAAGAAAGAGTTTAACGAGTCGTGGGAGAAGAACCTGATGCAGAAGCCCTCGCGCTGGCCCATCAAGACGCAAGCAGCAAATTCCATGTACCGAATCAGCCAAACCCTTTGGAAGAAGTACGAGTCAAGAAACGTCGGAAGAGAGGAGGAGACTCTGTTGAGAGAGGTGGAGAGGATGGTGTCGGACATAGTAGCGGGATGCTTTTGCAACACGGCAAGAGTGGTGGGGATGAAGTGTTTGGTGACGGCGGTGGAAGTGAGGGAAGCGTCGGTGAGAGAAGCGGCGATGCATCTGGGGAGAACGGAGAAGATACTTGAGATCGTGGACAGGAGATGCATACCTGCTTTGTCTCACCTCAAAGTGGCTGACATGGATGGATGGAGAGAGTTTTATAGGACCAACCAACGAATCTCTTCCACTACACATCCTTCGTCTCAGTGTACCACACGTCAGCTCATTCTCACCATAGAGTAGACACTTAGTTTCATGTCAAAGCTAATAAATGAACGTTTTGTACACTAGGCAATAAATAAGCTTTCATGAACGAGTCATACCATCAGCTTTGCTTTTCCAAATCTTTATCTTCTTCTACTCGATATTTGCAATAAAATCGTCAACCGTCAACAAAAGTAAATCAAGCCCATTAAGCTGGTCTATATGTATTACGAATACTTTAACTTGAATTTAGTTTAGTAAACAAAGAGTCAAGATGGCCGAGTTGGTCTAAGGCGCCAGCTTCAGGTGCTGGTCCGAAAGGGCGTGGGTTCAAATCCCACTCTTGACAATACTTTTTGTTGTTTTTTATCTGACCATGTGGACAAGTGGAAATAAAGGACGTACATCCACATGGAGGCAGTTGAGATTTGACCAAGTGACCTTAAAGCTTAAACTCTAAACCCAACCACATGTTATCGGATCTCTCACATACCTATGTCCGGTGTGGTTGCTCACCTGCATTCACTTCTCTTTGTCTCCATGTCCTTTGCTTTTGTTATCATTATACACATCTATCTATGATGGTTCGACAATATTAGTCTAAGTAAAAGACAATAACCCCAAAACAACAAAATTAAGCTCTAAAACTCAATTATTTACTTGCTTTTAGGTTGAAGATCCCTACCCAATAGTAGTTGACCAGTCGATATATACATAGAGAGAGAGAGAGAGAAGTGATGGGCACAAAGTTGTTACACAAATATAGGCAGGTGAGACAGGTGTGAAGCGGTTGTTGTTCATCCTCACAATTATTTACCCTTTTCCAAAAAATTATTTACCCTCTGTAAACTAATTATGTTAGCCACATATTCTAATGTTGTATAGATCACACTATGCCAATGAATCTCTTTATAAACCAAACATTTCTTCACACACCCAAAATAAAAAAAAAGATTGAAAAAATATATGCATTGCAAATAAATAGCAGCTAAGCATAAGTTTGATCAAATATGAACTGAAAAAGGGAAAAGTTATGATCTCTATTAGACAGCTTAACAAACAAAGCTAACCCCACTTTCTCTTCATATTTAATCTCTCTTTTCTCTCATTCTTCTTTCTTCAACCATCTCCTTCTCTTACATCTGAGTCTTTAATATTAGCCCACTTCTCCACTTGTTTACATTCTGGTCCATGAGCAATCATATCTCAGTGATGAAGTTCTTGATTCTCTCTCTTGTCCTCTCCATATCCATGACTACTCTGTCCTATGCTCAGACATGTTCTGACTACAAATTCTCCAGCAACAATGTCTTTCAGTCCTGCAACGACCTCCCTTTTCTTGATTCTTTCCTCCATCACACTTACGATTCTTCCACAGGGAGCCTCCATATCGCTTATCGCCACACCAAACTCACCTCTGGCAAATGGGTTGCTTGGGCCGTGAACCCAACGTCTACAGGAATGGTGGGAGCTCAAGCCATCGTGGCTTATCCACAACCAGACGGCACTGTCAGGGTTTACACTTCCCCCATCAGAAGCTACCAGACAAGTCTACAGGAAGGTGATCTGAGTTTCAACGTCTCTGGCTTGTCTGCAACTTACGAGAACAACGAGATGGTTGTGTTGGCAAGTCTGAAACTTTCACAGGATCTTGGGAATGGTGGAACCATCAACACTGTGTGGCAGGATGGGTCAATGTCTGGGAACAGTCCTCTGTCTCATCCAGCTTCTGGCAACAATGTCCGCTCTATGTCCACTATCAATCTGGCCTCCGGTGTCTCTGCAGCTGCCGGAGGAGCTGGAGGAAGTTCCAAGCTCCGCAAACGCAACGTGAGTTGATTCTTTTGTGGACATACTTTGTTTTTTTTTTTCCAAACAGAGCATAATGATTGTGTGATAATGGTGGAGCAGATACATGGAATATTGAACGGAGTGAGCTGGGGAATAATGATGCCAATAGGAGCAATCATAGCTCGCTACCTGAGAGTCGCCAAATCAGCAAACGCTGCTTGGTTCTACATTCATGTTTCCTGTCAGGCTTCTGGTTACATCATCGGTGTGGCCGGATGGGCCACCGGTCTCAAACTCGGTGGCGACTCACCGGGGATTCAGTATAGCACGCACCGTGCTATTGGGATCGCTCTCTTCACCCTAGCAACAGTTCAGGTATATTACACACTTGCACATCAAAATGAAGACCAGTAATAGTATAGCTTGCTTAACCGGTTTATTGCCCGTGTCATGCATGCATTAGGTGTTTGCCATGTTTCTGAGGCCGAAACCAGATCACAAGCACAGGCTCTACTGGAACATATACCACCACACGATCGGCTACACAGTGATCATCCTTGGAGTGGTGAACGTTTTCAAAGGACTAGAAATATTGAGTCCCAAGAAGCAGTGGAGAAACGCTTACATTGGTATCATCATTGTTCTCGCCATCGTGGCCACCGTGCTCGAAGCCTTCACTTGGTATGTTGTCATCAGGAGAAGGAAACTAGAGGAATCTACTAAAGCAGCTCAGCGTGGACCACCCAACGGCGCTCGATCTCAGTATGCTTAATATCTATCCAGTTTCAGTAGGTTAATGTCGGGTTCTCATATGTACTTGAAATTTTTTTCTTAATTAGGATGTGTGGCTTTTGCCTGTATTCTGTTATTCTGAACAGATATGAATGATAACGTCTTTTTATTTTATCGACACTAAAGGAGTGTACATGTGGATTTAAATCATCTAAAAGTCTCAGCCCAGTCAAAAACTTAGACAGAGACAGAGAAGAGACAGTACCTAATACGTAACAACAATCTTTGATGCTTCAACAATGTATTTCAAAGATTAAACAGAAAGCATGAGCTTCTGAGTCTATGTGCGTGCTCAAGCAGTTTCTCGCAGCTTAAGGCTTGCAATCTCTCTCACCACCTGAGCTTTGTCTGCTTCAAACCTCTCGTCCTCTGCCACAAAAACAGACATGAATGAATCATAAACATTAAGAAGTTTGTTTACGGTGAGAATCAGTTCCATTCTCTGGTAACATACCTTTGTCCGGCTTCACATCAGCCAACAATCTAAGAAGCTTGGTCTTGTTCGCCGCCAGAATGTTGACGATATCTGAAGGCTTGTTTTGGTTTGCTACAAACAGCTGTACAACACACAACAATATCAGTGAATATGAATTGCACCTTCAAATTTTTATTTTCAAAGTTTAACTACATCACTGTAAGACAGACATTTTCCAAAAATCAAAATCCAATCCAAAGCCATTTGACTGATGATTATGTTTCACTGCGTAAAACTACTCCATGTGTTTAGGTTACAAGAAAGATACCTTAAAAACATGGAAAGCTTCTATCTGAATGGTCTTGCTTGATTCCTGCCAAAGAGTTTTTCATCCACAAGCTCAAGTTATTTCCAACACTTTTGGCAGAGCCAGACATCAAGAATAAAAACAATTCAGGATATAAGGTAAAGCATCTTACTCTGAGAAGATTCATGAGAATTCTCAAGTTATCCATAGACCTCACATATTTCGACATCACACCTGAATTTGACCTATCAAGTAATATATCGCCCAGCAGCTGTCAAAATTTCCAATATAAACAATCAGTCAGAGTGCTCTGTCACTGCTATCTTTTTCTGATATCTACACTCTAGGTTACTCTACCTTGATAGCCTGCCGTCTGGTTATATAATTACTTGACTCAAGAAGCTTTGAGTTGTAGTCTGCAAAAAACTGTAAACCAAAATAGCTGAGAATCTTACCGAGAGATGAAACAGATACGTGTGCTTTCAAGCAAAATTTTATGATTTGGTTCAGTGTAAGAGAACTTACCCAGTCTTCATTCTTGATGAGAAATTCAGCAACTGTAGACTTGTGCCTTGTCAGAAGTTCCTGCAAGAAACAAACCACGGAGCTGAAGTTATGACGGCGTGTTTAACGAGTGGCATACAATGGGAAAATCTAAATCGTGACAATAGGGGAATTTCAAAATATGGTCTAGTGTTCGGAAACCTTAAAAGTTGCAGCAGCATCAGCAGCAATGTCGAAATTGGGAAGCTGAATGTAGTAAAAAAACTTCTTCACGTGCTGTGAGTCCAAGACATATCTGAGAACCGGTTTCCATTATAATATGCCCCACAAAAACACCACCAGTAAACTGTTTGTACTATATCGTAATTCGATTTCTCTCTTTTCCGATTAAAAACATAATGTCGTAAGCGAAGGAAGATATAAATTCTGCTTACTTTGCAACAATCTGATGGCGGATGCACTCTCTAAACATAGTACCATAGTGTAACGCCATATCTGTGTTCTCGAAGCTGAGAGAAATCATAGAAACGGACATGAATGAGAAAAGGACCTCATTATCAAGATCTTAAAATGGAGACCCTGCACCTCCAAAACTCACCCTTCCACTAGAAAATCCATAAGATCAATGTTGGATTCGAGATAATCAGATGCAACAAGGCGTGAATTAACTTGTTGCCTCTGAAGATTTGCAACAACTTGTGTAGCATCTTTCCTGGCCTAACAAAAAGACAATATCTTATTGCATACCGCAGAGTTCATGTAAAATGGTTTGATTCAAGCAGGAGACGAGAGATGTTACCTCCAAGTTCAAATATGGAAGACATGTGAGCAAGCGGCGAAGAGTGTCTTCCTTAAAGAACTCCTGCGTCAACTGGGCGCAAGCTTCGGCTACAGGCTCAGCCTCGCTGTTTCCATAGAGTATTAACTTCAATTCTCGCAAGCTCTTGGTTAGTTCCACCAGCTGCAAGCAATTTCCCATAAATCAAACCAGGGATCAATCAGGATTGGAAGAAAAATGATCAATTGATTGATTTTCAGAAACAATAATACAGATTTCAGGGTAGAAATTTCTCGGAATCGAAAGCTGAATGTGGAGAATTTGATGGAGGAAAAAAGAAATAAAAAACCTTTTCCTCGCGTTTGGACTCTCGAAGGTCAGGGAAGGAGGCGGATCGATCGGCGTAGCGGAGGAGATCGCGAGTCTGTCGAACAATTTCAGCTGGAGTCCGCGGTTTGGATTTGAAAAGACCCTTCATGTCCACCTGATCCGCCGCGTCTCCGCCGGAACAACCAGAAGCGGAGACAAATTTTTCGCCGGACCCAGCAGTGTAGCAGCTCCTCTTTTTGACCCGCACGATCCTATCGACAATCGTACTTGTACCACCTGGAACTAGGGCTTACTAATGATTAATGGAAGACACAGAAGCTCTCTCTCTCTCTCTCCCTCTCTGTCGAATCCACAAGCGTATCAGTGTATCACGATGTGCTTCTTTCTTCTCTCGCGTCCTCTGTTTTTAGCTTCAGAGATCTCTTTGCTTACAGTAATTCTATTAACGATTCTCAAGTCAAAACATTTATTAATTATTACTACTGTTTATTAGTCGCACACCTTCTTAATTAAGTGGGATTCAACAGCCTAATAATGGGCCACAGAAGCTTAAAGGCCCAAACCCAAATCAGAGCATCTTTGTATCATCAATCAACCTGAATATGACAAAACAAGATTAACTATTTTCACATTTCTGGTAGATGCATCCACCGTGTCGATTGATAAAATAGCAAATTCTGTGAGAATTCATAATGTTTACCACAATTGATATGAATCTCTCTTTGAAGTTACCATCATTCTTTGTTAAAATCTAAATAACTCAAAGTTGGGATCATTCTGCATCGACAAGCATTTACATAAACATATAAAAGATCAACACTGTCACTACTCACTACCATCCGTGGGGAGATGATAAACACAAGAACAAGTTTTAAATTTGAAGCAGAGAGATGATAGGTGTTCAAACATCAAAGTCCCAACTGGCTCTGCATATCCAATATAGTCTTTGCTGATTTCTGCAGCTTCTCGGTCTCTTCGTCAGTCATATGCACATTGGTCACAGCCACCACACCGTTGCGTCCAAGCAGAGCCGGTAAGCTGAGGAAGACGTCACCATCGTCAACACCATAGAAGCCACGAGCAAGTACCGTGACCGGGTGGATCTTGCGCTGGTCTCGGAGGATAGTCCGAGCCAGATTGGCAACGGAGTAGCCAATGGCCCAAGAAGTGTAGCCCTTGAGCCCAATGACTTCATAGGCACTGCCAATGACGGTTTGGTGTATGTCTTCAAGGGTTTGTTTCTCGTAAGCGATCTGATTCTTCTCCAGGAAGCTTAGCACAGGGATGCCTCCAACACTTATGCTCGACCACAATGCCACCGAGCTGTCTCCATGCTCCCCTACGATAAATGCCTTCAACCACAACATTATATTTGTTGCTCAAATCATTAAATTGGAGAGACACTCCACAAATCTGAAATCCCTAACCTGTACGTCCTGAGCATTGACGTCGAGATGATCGGCGATTAAGAATCGGAACCGAGAGGAGTCGAGATTGGTGCCCGATCCAAGCACTCGATTCACCGGGAAGCCGGAGAGTTTCCAGGCGACGTAGGTCAAAACGTCGACGGGATTGGAGACGATGAGCAAGATCGAATCGGGAGATGACTTCGCGAGCGGAGGGATGATGTGGCGGAAGAGAGAGACGTTCCTCTGGAGGAGATTGAGCCTGGACTCGCCTGGGTTCTGTCTTGCCCCGGCGGTGACGATGCAGAGATCGGATCCGGCGGTGACGTTGTAGTCGACGGAGGCGGTGATTTTGGTGCGGGGGAGGAAAGCGGCGGCGTGCTGGAGATCGAGCATCTCGCCGCGGAGCTTGTCAGGCTTGGCGTCGACGAGTGCGATCTCGTCTGCGAGATCCTGAGTGAGGATGGTTTGAGCGATGGCCATGCCGACGTTGCCGACGCCGACGACGGAGATCTTGGTACAGCGGTTGGAGGGAATTGGTGGATCGGAGTTTTGGATCGGCTTGAAAAAGGCGCTGGTCAGATCCAGACCGCCCGGACCTAACGACGAACCTGGTGCGTTACTCTTCTCCATTACTGTTCAGTTTTTGGCGATTTGATGATTTTGTTTCTTCTTCTTTGATTCTTGTGAGTGAGTGAATAGTCTACTTATAGGGAACTGAAGAAATGTCACCGAGTCGTCTCTCTCCACTATTATTCATGTTTGTGCCTTAAAAAAAACAAGTCTAGTATATTCTTACGAATAAATATGTACCTAAACTTTTTTTTATTCTCAACCATACCAAATATGTGCACTAAACCCAAATTAAAAATATCTTCAAGTAGCTTTTGGTCGGAAACAAGGAGCAGCACACTGTTTGAGTGTTTGGTTTTAACTTTTACCATTTTTTTTTTCTCGATATGGTATTCATTTAAAAATTAAAATTCTCTTAAAGAAATTCTGAAACTTTCTTAGAAAGAAAAAAATCAAAGTCAAAGGCATCTTTTGTTGACATGGTTAAATTATTAACTAGGAGTTTTGCTTGCTATTGCAAATATCCACCAAAAGGATACAAGTTTTGATAGAGTCCATTGTTTTGGATTGTCAAGAAAGCAGTTTTGATAGTGTTTGACTTATGCATCAACCGACAAAGAAAGCATATTATTGTGTTAATATGGATTTTAAGAGATAAGACTTGACATCTAAGTGTTAATCTAAAGCGAGAATGAGTTCATGGGTAGTAAACTGAGACGAAGGATGAGAGAAAGAGATGGATTGATTAGTCCTATAAAACTCTCTCCATTCATCAATCTTTGCCACTTTGTGTTGAGACAAAGCAGGCATGCATCTCCTGTCCACGATCTCAAGTATCTTCTCTGTTCTCCCCAGATGCATCGCCGCTTCTCTCACCGACGCTTCCCTCACTTCCACCGCCGTCACCAAACACTTGATCCCTATCACCTCTGCCGTGTTGCAAAAGCATCCCGCTACTATATCCGACACCATCCTCTCCACGTCTTTCAAAACAGTCTCCTCCTCACTTCCGACGTTTCTCGGTACATGGAGTTTGGCTGATTCGGTACATGGAGTTTGCTGCTTGTGTCTTGATGGGCCAGCGCGAGGGCTTATGCTTCATGCACAAAATCAGATTCTTCTGCCACGACTCGTTAAACTCTTTCTTCGCTATATCAACCAGTTCTTTAAGAACTTCTTGTGGTCTTGTTCTCTGTTGCTTGGATAGTTTTCGAAGATCCACGTTGAGCCACTTATGGTAGAGATCAACTCCGCAGCTTTCCTGCTGTTAACTAACTCTCCTTCAATGTCTAAGACCTCTTCGAACTTTTTGACATAGATTAAAGCCTCGTTTACAGCCTTCACTAGCTTCTTGAGAGAGCAAGGCTTTATGTTGGGAAGAGCAACAACGATGCTCGTCAGTGTTACTAACGGAAGGGCCCAAGAATTAGGTGGCTCTCCAGAGGCTAGAGAAGCAACCTCGTCACTGTCAAAATCTCGAATCCCTTCAAATCCTTTTGAGATGGGACTTGTTGCCTCCAAGAGCTCTATCAAGCTTACTGGTTGTTTCTTCCGACCCTTTTGTATCAAATGGTTTGTGGCCTCACGGTTGCTCCGAGCCATAAAATCCACCAGCTCCTCCTCTCCTTCAAGATGCAGAACAAATCGTCTCGTCGATAGATTTGATCGTGAAGATTCGGCGTTTGCTACAGTATCACATCTGACGGTGAAAAACTACAAACACAGCAAGATTATACTCCCAAAGTAGACCGTGATGAAACGGAGAAACTTGCTAGCCAAGACTAACACATATTGTGTTGCAATGCAGAGATCAAGTATCCACTGGTTTAAGTCGTGTGCAAGCTTCCTGCTCCGACGACCATGGAACATCCATAGGTTCAAGGGACGTTCTTTCTTCTCAACGAGACACTCAGACCAATAACTCTCTACTCTCAACTCATCTCTCAGACATTTCTTTGCTCTTGATGATGGACACCTCAATTTCACTGCACTAAACCATCTGCTCGCTGGAGCAATGGATCCTATGGCTACTAGAGCGGCCTGAGAGGCTAGAACCAGAGTGGTTGACCATTTGTAATCAGAGTCTCCATTACAGAACCCAAGTGATCGTGGTTGTAGAAAGTAAGACCGGAGCATGGCTTCAGCCAACGTGACAGCACTTAAAAAACAGAGGAAACCAGAGGTGGTGCAAGTGACAGAGCGAGCCATCACGAACTGTGGGCTACAAGTGTGAGCCATAATCCAAAATTTCATCAGATCTTCTTTAAGCTTATTAACCCCTTTCCTTCTCTCTGTATACGAAGGACACTGCTTCAAAGCGAACTCGTACTTCTTCTTGTACTTGAGCTCCAAGAAACGCTTTGTGGCGGGGACTGTGATGGCAGAGAAGCTCAAGATCACAAACATTAGAAGCATGAGAGCGATAACGAGAGCGTGTTCTTGAGTGAAAACGTAGATGGCACCTGTACCTAATTGGATACAGATGTTGACAACGTCTGTGATGACAAGAATCCCTAAGGCCATGAGGAGATCTTGAGTGACCATGAAACCAAGAGAAGGCATGGAATTAGCCATGACCGTGCAGAAGAAGACGCTGCTGCTGAGTTTAGCGAGCTGATCCTGGCGACTAGGCATGGAGGTGTTGAGATCTAAGGAGAGTTTGACGCAGACGGAGATGAAAGTGAGAGTGGTGGCGTTGAGAGAGAAGAATTTGCAAGGGAACCAGAACTTGCGGTGACGGAAGCCGTGAAGAAGATCGGCAAACATGGAAACTCCACATATCAGTGAAGCTGCTGCCACGTAGATACCTATTGATGGCAACGGTTTGCTGAACTCTGCGTCGCTTAGATTACCTTGGGAGTCGCACCCCATCACTAGAGAGAGAGAGAGAGAGAGTGGTGTCTTGATGTTGATAAAGATCTCTCTCGCAATCTCTCGAGTCTTCTGTTTTCTGTTCTGCTTCGTCTTTCTATGGAGAGAGAGAGAGTTACTTTCGTGTTGTGATGTAGAGAAAGATTGTTGGGAAATTGAATCGTCACTGTTGATTACACTGCTCTAATCAATCAAGTCACTTTTTAATGTGCTGACGTGTGTCTCTCTTCACCACACGATTTTAATGTGCTTACGTGTTTCTCTCATCACCACACGATTTGTGATTAGTGGGTGATTAGTTTTAGGGCTCTCATTAGAGTGAAAGATTCAGGCAAAATTTTGGTTCTGGGTTTAAGTTTCTATTTGCTTCTCAGTTCTCACCAATTGCATTCGTCAATAATTGGATTTTGAATCTGGGCAATAGCTGCACCAACATCTAAGCGAAGCTTTCGATGTTCACTTGGATTTGATTTTGTCATCGACATTGATAATATGCCTATGGCTCGAGAGTTGTTCGGAATTCTGGGTAATTCGATTGCTATCAAACACCGAGCCAAGTCTGTTCCATTTCCAATCCGAAGATTCTCGCTTTGGTCAACGAAGAAAGACCCAGATCTCGAATCAGCCCTCTCGCGTAACAAGAGATGGATAATCAACAGCCGGCTCAAGAACATAATCTTAAGGTGTCCCAATCAGGTCGCACCGATCAAGTTTCTGCAGAAGAAGTTCAAAAGCCTCGATCTTCAGGGGAAGGCGTTGAATTGGGTTAACAAGTACCCTTGTTGTTTCCACGTTTATCTCGAGGACGATGAGTACTACTGTCGTCTGACGAAACCCATGATGATGCTTGTAGAAGAAGAAGAGCTTGTCAAAGACGCACAAGAGCCTGTGTTAGCAGATAGGCTTGCCAAGCTGCTTATGATGAGTGTTAACCAGCGTCTCAACGTCGTCAAGCTTAACGAGCTTAAACGGAGCTTTGGGTTCACCGATGATTACGTCATCAGGATACTGCCAAAGTACTCTGAATTGTTTCGGTTAGTGAGTTACAGTGGGAGGAAGAGTTCGATGGAGATCGAGCTCTTGTCTTGGAAGCCTGAATTGGCCGTCTCTGCGGTGGAAGCAGCAGCGGTTGAGTCTGGCTCTGAGCCTAGCTTCTCTTGCTCTCTGCCCACCACGTGGACTAACCCGTGGGAGAGGTTCTTGGAGTTTAACGCTTCTCCTTACGTATCTCCGTATCAGGATCTTGGGGATCTTGGGGAGGGTGAGAAGGAGAGTGAGAAGAGAAGCGTTGGTGTGGTGCACGAGCTGCTCTCGCTGACGCTGTGGAAGAAGCTGTCGATGGTGAAGCTGAGTCATTTCAAGAAGGAGTTTGGTTTGCCGGAGAAGCTAAACGGTATGCTTCTGAAACATCCTGGGATCTTCTATGTCTCGAACAAGTATCAGGTTCACACTGTGCTTCTCAGGGAAGGGTACAGTGGCTCGGAGTTGGTTCACAAGGACCCGCTCGTTCTTGTCAAGGATAAGTTTGGGGAGCTGATGCAGCAGGGCTTGTATGAGTATAACCGCAGGCGGTATTTGGCTAATCTGGAGAAGAAGAGAGAGAGAGGTGTTGTGTCTGTGGTGCGAAAGAAAGACAGGATTGATGATGGAGACGATGTTGATGAGCAAGAGAACCATGGTGGTATGTTTGATCCAGAAGAGAGGAAAAGGTTCTATCAGATTCTATTCAGTGACTCCTGATACGAGCATTGTGGTGAAGTTGAAACGTTATGCCGCTGAGAGAATTGATGATATATGTCAACAACTCTTGGGACAGGCAGCTTGTGAGAACAAATGTGTAGCTTACAACAAAATCATACTGTCTCAGAGATGGCACTGCATAGAGCAAGGTCAAGATGGAATCTGATTTCAGTCTTGGGAAGCAGGCGAGAATCAAAAGGGAAGAGATTGCTGATTCAATGCTATATCCACAATGAACAGTGTGTGGAAAGTTTGTTGATATTCAGTGAAGACCTTTGCAGCACTTTGGAATTTTCTGCTATTGGCAGAACCAAACCCATGCCAATTGAGTTAATGCTCCTACAGTGACTCATTCTACTTTTGTTTTGTCACCCCATCAGTGTTCATTATCTTATCCAGTGACAATTTTCTCCTTCTTATCCAGTAGGTAGAAAGTTAATACCTTTCATACCTCATATTTTTTCTTGAACTCCAACATTGAATAAAGCTTTTGGCCACTCTTATCTATTGAGGTAAATTTGACGTTTTGCTTCGTTACACATGGTCTTTTTGTGTTGCGTAAGTAGAGTTTGGTTCATAAAAGTGACTTTATATCCACTTTCCTCTATGTATGCGTGCGTGTGTGTTTGTGTTTATGATATTATGGAATATAAAACGAGAAAAGGTAACAAATAGACTAGCTTGGATAACATGATAAGAGGTGTGAGTTGGGAAAGAGAAGAAAAAAAGGAAAAAAGTGGTCAAAAGCCAAAACCAGGAAGCTGCATTGCTTTGACTAAGTAGTTACAATTGGTGATGAGAAGATGTTTGTGCGGCAAGTGGGACAGGAGGGGTTGGAGGAGAACCACTGCTGAATGCAGTGGACATGGAATCCATGTTTGCATCTGTCCAACACACGGAGGGTGTCACCGTTCTGGAATTCAGACAAGCAAATGATACACTCTGCTTCAGCACCTGCCAGGTTCAGACCAGGGGAGTAGACAAGCGTCGAGGCAGCTTCCGAACGGGATGGCTCAGGGTCAGTGTCAGGGTCGGGTTTAGGGTCACGTTGGAGGGCTGGACGAAGACAACAACGGAGAGCAGCGTGGAGAGAGAGGACACAGATGAGAGAAGAGAATACGATGATGAGAAGGAGAGAGACGTTGGCAGAGAAGTCATTGGAATGAGAGTAAGGCTTCCAGCTGCAACTCTGTGACGTACATGTAGAGTTAAGCTGGGTTTGAGGATCAGATGATAGCAGCCGCATTGGAAACTCTGATAAGTTCCCAAAACAACTTCTGTCTTGTTGTGTTTATAGACAGAGAGAGAGCAAAAAAGAAAACGCATTTAAGAGAAGAGGTCACACCAGACCAGAGCGTGGTTTTGGTCTTATTTGTGAGGAGGAGGACGTGGATGGGTCTAGAGAAAGGGACCACTTTGAGTTATGAAGATGAACACTTTTGTTTGTCGACAAGATATGAGATAACTCGCTATAATTCTTTCCCCTCCTGCTAAGGCAACTCTACAGTTCCTCTTTTTTTTGCTTAATCTTTAATGCTTCATATAGTTTCAATTTGGTTTTCTCAGTTAAGTGTAGGATATCCATACACATACTAGTCCAGTTACGTGTTCTATACACACACTCACACTACAACTCTTATCAACTCTTTACAAACTCCTTATTACTACTCTATCACTTCATTTTAGTCAACAAGAGAGAGAGGCAGTAGAAGGAGGACTATGGAAACGACAGCGTTTCATGTAAGGTCTTACTGTTGGACATTGAGGTCAAATGGACCAACACTAATTTTATTCATTCCATTCAAAAATGCTTAGATTAAGCTCAAAAAGGGAGGAGCATGAAACTCTCGTTTTTGTTTCAGTTCTATTTTGTATCTGTCATTGTACAATATAGAAGATAGGACAAAGACAAAATTCTTAGCTAGAACAAAAACCAAAGAAGCTCAAAGCCTGAAAACTATGGGACTCTAATAAGTTGTTCTCTAAAAAACTCACTCCAAAATCATTTCATCTTCGTAAGTGTAGATATATCAGGTCTCTAAGCAAGCATCAGTTGCTGCAAAAAGTTCAAATCATTAGAAATCCATCATACTTGGTCAATTCTCAAGAGCAATGGCTGTTGTAAATTCTTACCTCCGTGTTGTTCATGTATCCAAAACCGTGCATCCCTCTTTCACCAGACATTCCCCAACCCAAACCGCTCATATGAACACCTCCTCCTCCTCTAGATTCTATTCCCATTCCATTGTTTCTACCGTAACCAAACCCCAACTCTGTGTTGCTGTAACCGTGATAGCTACGCCCTTCACCAACTGTTCCCCACTTGTCTCCTATGCTCCCTACTCCAGAGTTCCCATTCAACCGTCCAGTCATCACAGAGTTTGATATGTATCCCGCACTAGCATTATCCGCCCATAGCTGATTTCGAGTGACAAAACCATTCCCTTGGCCACCGTACATGCTCAGGTTTGCATTATATCCTGGAGCAGGGCTAAAAGGTCTTCCAAAACCTCCATTGGATCCACTTACGTAACTCTGATTCTGGTTTGCCTCAAAATTCAGCTCAATCCCGAATCCATGGCAAAACGGAGAGAAGCTGCCGCCTCTGTTGCCTGCTGCTGGACTGTACCTACCTTCAGGTTTTGCTCCATAGCCTAAGATTGGACTCAGGTTATACCCTTGCGTGTAATCATTAACAAAAGTAGTCATCTTGCTCATCAGGTTCCGGTTTGGAGTGGGAGAGGTCTCCTTTGGGACGGCCATTTTGACCTCAACCATCTTACCATCGAGCTCATGGAATGACCTCTGCAGCACTCTGTCCACAGCATCCTCCGAATCATATGTAACGAACCCGAACCCTCTCGGGCGTTGGGTTTTGTGGTCATACATGACCACATGATCCATGACTGTCCCAAACTGAGAAAAGTAGTTCTTCAACTCTGCATCTGTCACTGATGACGCCAACCGTCCCACAAATATCTTCTTCGTGTTT